GAGGTCACAATTGTACTGTGTGTCTGTCCATGTCTCAATGTCAGAGTTGCCTAGCACTAGGTGTAAGGATTGCATGTGAGAATCACAGATCTGCGTGCAAACCACACACTTCAGAACAATGGTTATCTATCTCATCCAAATATCAGTGTCCAAAATGTTAGCTTTCAAGTTTACCCTCCAATGCCAAGTTTCTAGGCCTCGTGGCAAGGAGATGAGACCGAAAAGATATTGGGCCCTGCTGAGTGAAATCCCAGAAGCTGGAGGAGGGAGGGAGGGAGAGGATTTTTGGTGGTGGGCCAAAGCTTTGGGTGGCTCCTACCCCACCAGAATAAATTGTGCAAAAACCCTCAGGCTTAATGGTTCAACCCCCAGAATAACACTGCGAAAATCAGGAAAAACTATGCAAAAACCAAACGTGCTCAATGTACATCATTTATTCAGATCACAGAATTTGGGTTTCCTTGGTACAGAACTGAGCAGGAGCAGTGGGAGGGCAAAGGAAGAGAGAGGAGTCTAGACTTCCTGCAGTCCTGCTCGTGGGTTTACTCATCTTTGCAGAGTCCTCTGAAAAAGGCCCCCTAAAGATTATGGAACGAGTTTAAGAAACAAGTTCTGTGCAACTTGAGAGCTGTACGTCTCCTCTGCACATGTTTGGCTGGTCCTTTGGCTTTGACCAATATGGCTACCTCTCTGGGATGCATTATGTGCAACATGGCCGATTCCTATCCTAAGGTGAGGCCATCCCCTCCAGTTGGCCTGGCCTGCTCTGGCACGGGGAGGCTCTGCTGGGCAACCGTGGCAAGGTCCGAGTTGCCACCTTCTGTTCTGTCAAGTGAAGAGGGCCTTCCTCTGCAGCCACTCTCTGTGGGAGACCCTCTCTCCCAATATTGGAACCCAACGGGGGCTCTCCATTCAACAAAACTGGAGGGCGTTGGATTCAGACAAGCAAGACTTCTTCACACAACACAAAAGTTAAACCATGGATTTGGCTACCACAAGATGCAGCAATGGCCACCCACTTGGGTGGCCTTGAAAGCAGGTTGAGCAAGTGAATGGAGGATAAGGCAATTGATGGCCACCAGTCCTGATAGTTCCCCATCCTGTATAGAGATCACCTCCAGGATTAGAAGCCATCAGCCTCTGTCCCTTCCGCCGGGCTTCCTGTAATGGGCATCTGGTTGGTCGCTATGGGAGGACGATGTGGGACTAGATGGGGCCCCTTTGGCTTGATCCAGCTGCAGTCAGCCGCTCTTCTGAAGATGGAAGGGAGAGAGGCAGACACCTTGAGGGGTTTCATGCCCCTGGCCATGTCTGGGTGCTGGGGGGACTCAGGTCAGTTGGCCTGGGACAGCAGGAACGAGAGAGGGGCATCACCAAAATACAGGGCAGATGCTCATCGCAAAAGGATGGGGAATCCTGGCCACTGTGTGTGTTGGATAAGGAGGGTTCTCTCAGTGGGTGCAGCTGCTTTGGCAGAGGGTGAAAGAGGGTGGGATGGGGGCCAAGGCTGACCATCTGTCTTGCTTTCCCCAAGGTACGTCACATTTTTCCAAGTGGGTGGGGAGACTGGGTTGGCTTAAAGCCCTTGCAAGACCGCTCCCTAGAGGGGGGAGGCCTCCCCCAGGCTCCTTCCTGGCGCTATTCAGCCATTGCACTTCCATTGTAACCTACAAGCCATGTTGTGTTCTTGCTGCGCCTCTCTGCCCATGCTAGTAAGCCTGACTTGGCTGCTGTGTGAAGGGGTGGGGAAGGGCCAGGTCACCTGACCAGCCACTGAAGCTCAGTGCACATTGGCTCTCACTTGGCAGGGATTCAGCAGGACCCTTCTTCTGGTCTTGCATGGCCCAGGATTGAGGCAGAGTTAAATAGGAACAGCCAACAGTGAGTCAACAATGACAGCTAATGCTGTTCTAGGCTGTATCTACAGAAGTCCAGTGCCCAGGTCAAGAGAAGTAATAGTACCACTTTATTCTGCCTTGATCAGGCCACACCTGGAATCCTGTGTCCATCTCTGGGCACCACAA